GGATCAAAACACGCTACTCTGAACCAACTCAAGCTTAACCTTGAGAAATTAGACAAGATGGCTGAAACACGAGTTCTTACGGATGTTGAAAGGATATCTAGGTGGGAATATAAGCACAAGCTAATGGAGTTGGAGAGATGTGAAAAACTAGACCTACAACAAAAGGCTAAAGTGAAGTGGATAAAAGACGGGGATGAGAATACTCGATTTTTTCCTGGCACTTTAAAACACAAAAGCTGGAAAAATAGAATACATGGTCTCAATATTAATGGTGTTTAGAATTGCGATCCCCATGCAATGAAGCTTGAGGTGTTTAAGTTCTTTTCGCATAAATTTCATGAAGCCTGGCCTTGTAGACCCAAATTTATTAACAACAATTTCAAAAAGCTCTCCACTGATCAATCTTCATTTCTTGAATCTACTTTCTCGGTGCAAGAAATAAAAGCAGCTATATGGGACTGTGGTGGAGAGAAATCACCTGGTCCAGATGGCTATACCTTTAAGATTCTAAAATCAAATTGGGAGACAATTAATGGTGATGTTATCCATTTTGTGCAATACTTCGAAAATACAGGTTCGCTCGCACCAGGCTGCAACTCCTCAAGCATCACTCTTATTCCAAAAAAATCGGACCCACAAACACTCGGGGACTATAGGCCAATTTGTCTAATTGGATGTATGTACAAGGTTGTGGCAAAGATACTAGCTAACATGCTAAAATAAGTGATTGGGACGGTAGTTGATGAGGTCCAATCGGCATACATTCATGGAAGGTTCATTCTTGATGGCCCTTTAGTAATGAATGAGATGGTTTCATGGGCCAGACAACAGAAAAAGAAAATCTTTCTCTTCAAGGTCGACTTTGAAAAGGCTTTCGACTCGATAAATTGGGGATACTTGGACTCAATAATGGTTCAGATGGGCTTCGGCGAAAAATGGCGAAAGTGGATCATGTCCTGCTTATCCTCTTCAAGAGCATCGGTCCTTGTAAATGGCACACCCACAGACGAATTTCCGATAACCCGCGGAGTGCGTCAGGGTGATCCGCTATCACCATTTCTTTTCATCCTAGCCATGGAAGGACTTCATATTGACCTCAAATCGGCTTGTGAAAAATCAATATTCTATGGTGTCAAGATTCCAAGAGATGGGCCTTTGATCTCACATCTGTTCTACGCGGATGATGCGATATTTTCTGGGGAATGGGATCGCTTTAGTATTCAGAATCTGTCCTGCATCCTTAAGTGTTTTCAAGTCTCGTTTGGATTGAAAGTAAATTTCTTCAAATCACGTGTATTTGGGGTCGGAGTCTCAAACTCAGAATTATCGGAGATGGCTCAGGTTCTGGGATGCTTACAAGGTGCGTTTCCGTTCACCTACTTGGGAGTTCCGGTTGGAGCAAACATGGCACTCAAGAAGAATTGGAAACCAATTATTGACAAGTTTTCATCCAGGCTATCAAGTTGTAAGGCTAAATCCCTATCTTTCGGCTGACGCATTACACTCATCAAATTAGTTCTAGACAGCCTTCCCACATACTATATGTCCTTGTTTAAAGACCCGCAAGGAATTATTGACCACTTGGACAGACTTAGGAGACAATTTCTTTGGGGTGGCGACGGCCTCATAAAAAAGATACACTGGGTGGATTGGTCGAAAGTCACAACACCAATATCGGAAGGTGGGCTTGGCGTTGGATCGTTACACGTCCAAAATATAGCTCTTTTAGTTAAATGGTGGTGGAGATTCATGAACGAATATGAAAGCCTATGGACTAAGGTAATATCGAGCATCCATAATCTGAGAAAAAAACCGGCAACTTATCTAGCAAGGAAATCTACCAACGGGGTGTGGTGCAACATTTCAAAAGCAATAAGCTCCATTGAAGATTTTGGCATCGTTAAGAATGAACTCTTCTCTCTTACTCCGGGATCGAGAGTAAAAATTCTGTTTTGGAAGGATTTGTGGTGTGGTACTACTCCTTTTCAAAAAAAATATCCCAGTTTGTATGCAATTGAAACGAAAAAATGTTGTTCACTGGTAGATAGACTCTCGACCAATGGTTTTTCATGGATGTGGAGACACGAACCAACAGGGACTGCCGAGTCAAATGAGCTGCTTCAAATGCACATGGATATTGGTTCTTTGACAGTGGCGGGGGCATCCGACTTTGGGTTCCGTTTCAGGCTAAGCTCCACTGGGGAATACACAGTCAAACTGTTGAGAAAGTTAATTGAATCCAAACGGAGTTCTTACAGTGGCCAACCTATTTGGTGGTCAAAGACTATCCCTCTTAAGGTAATATGCGTCATATGGAGGGCTGCTTTAGGAAGAATACTAGTGGCAGATACCTTAACACTAAGGGGAGTCAATATTCCGAACACTCTATGTCAAATGTGCAACAAGGAGAATGAATCAATTGATCATGTGCTAGTCAAATGTGATTATGCCAAGGAGATACAAGAATGGATATTCGGCTGGTGCGGTATAGGCGATAAATCATTCACAAATGTGAGAAGCCTCATTGATTATGCAGCGGTCTGGAGTAATTGCCCTAGGAAGTAATACATTCTATCAACGGTGTTCTATAGTCTCATTTGGAATATTTGGCTGGCCAGAAATGACAAAAACTTCAAGAAATTGGGAATGTCCTCTACAAAGGTTGCAGATAATGTGATTTCGTTAGCTTTTACTTGGTGCAAGCACAGGGGGAATGTAGATTGCGGTAACTGGGCGGTCTGGAGTATATCACCCTTTTTGCATTTTTCTCCTTAATTGTCTGTAATGCTCTTTTCTTTCCTCTCATTGTAATTTTGGCCTCATCCTAGCTTCTTGCTAATCGGTGCCCTTTCTTCTATATATATACATCTTATTTGCAGTTTCAAAAAAATAAATGAAAATAATTTTGCCACATGTCGTTCTCTCATGCATTACGCCACATGTCATTTTGTCATAATTTTGAGATATTTATTTTCCACTTGTCATTTACTTCATTTTTTATTTTTGAATATATCATTAATTTAGTTTCTATAAATTAAACATACCATAATAACTATATTGATTTCAAATTTTAAATTTCGAATTTCAAACTTCAATTTCAATTTTAAATAAATTTACAGTTTAAACCTTTGTATTTAATATTTTGTTATAATTAGCACATTTAATACACGGGTTTGACAACTAAACACATAATTTTAATATAAGTTTTTCGTGTTTTTTTAATGTTTTTTTTCATAATTTTTACTTGTTTCAAATTTCAAACAAATAAACTTGTCGTTTAATCATTTGTATTTAATATTTTATTTTGATCAACCCGTATAGTATACGAGTATCACAACTAGTATACTATAATAGAATCATTAGGTTGTGTTTGACGGGTTAACAATGTTAGATCTCATATGGAACGATTGGCAAGTGTGGAATATGAATAATCAGGAAGATAATAAAGTATAACGACGAGTTAAACAAAAATTATATAATGATACACTACTAGAAAAATAGCCTTTTACGACGCGCAAACCACGACACTCATTGATTTATGTTACGCAAAAGAGAGTGACATTAAAAAAGTGTCATCTCTTCAAAAAATTTAAGGATTTAGGTCACGCATTTTTGCGTGCCCTTAAATTAGTGTCTAATCTAAAAAAACACGGAGGGCACCTATAATAAAATGGGTGTCGTCTATGGATGTCGCTTTATAAATTGTAATGGAACGCGCGTTCCATCCCTTAATAACCAGGTGGAAAATGAAATCCTAAAAAATTTAAAACCCCGCCTTCCTTTTTTCTCCTTTCCCTCTTGCCCTAATTATCGACGCTCAAATGAAAAGGAAAGACTAGACGCAAAGTTGCAATTGGTCGGAGAATACAGTCTACGATGCAAAGTTGAAAAGGAACGACTCATTAAAATCCGTAATGTTGCTAGAATGATTCTAACTCTTGAGGACAAAGATCCACGAAGAATCTTCGAAGGCGAAGCTCTCATGAGGAGGACGAACATGTATGGTTTGCTGGATGAACGTTCTTGCCCTCATTGTTGAAAACTTCATCGAACGTCGTCTTCCAACCCTCGTCTTCATTGAACAGACTATTTATCTTATCAAAAAATCATAAGGACCATTATCTAGGGCTTTTTTCAAGGAGTGCTCTCTGCAACATTCTCTACCTCGGTTCTCCTCACCTGCAAGCGACCTCAGCTCACCTCTTTCCATCGGAGACCTCATGCTCACCTCTCCTCACCGGAGACTGGAACGACTGCTCAAGTTTCCAAGCCCTAGGGCTGATTAAGGTATGTTTATCATGATCTCGACACACCTCAACAACACCACTACAACTCATTCTCAAACGTCGACTTACTCTGCTGACCAATGTTCTCCGTATCGCCTACTTCTTGCCTTCCCATGGTTCGCTAATCAGATCCGATTCGCCAAAGCTCACGACTCCATGTGAGTTCATCCCTTTGTGTTGTATCTGAAGAAATTAGAAAAGTTTATGATTAATGTTCATGAGAATTACTTGATTTACCTTATTGAAATCACTCTCCGTAGACAAATGATTTGAGCACAAAAAAAAGTGAATTTGGAAATTTTTTATTTGTTCACTCGTGAACCATGAGAGCAGGTAACCTGTTTGAATAAATGCATATGAGATGTTACTTTTAAAATTTCTGATTGCGAGAGAAAAAAGAAGAAACCTATAGAGCATGTAACCTAGTTTCATATGTAATTTCATTAAGTTATTTAGCATACCCAACAAATTGAGGGTTAAATGTTTGTTTTCATTACAATTATTAAGCAAAAAGCTTGTAGTGGGTGATTTAGTTTTATTAGTTGGAGTTCACATGGTTATCAAAGTAGTTCGCATTAGAGATTTGCTGGAGGCTTTTGTTGCTATATGCTAAACCCAGCAGCATATTGTTGTTGCTGTGATAGACAAAGCTAATCATGTTGTTCTTGTAACAGTGATAATTCATTGCTAATACAGCTATGCATTTGAAAACAAATGATATGTTGTGTTGGGTGGTTATTGGTAGTGTACTGTCGCAAATATGCCAAATCTGAAAGGGTTCTTTTCCATTATAATGGTCATGGTGTACCTAAACCAACTTCCAATGGTGAAATTTGGTTTTTTAATAGGGTAATTATATGTTTTTATTTTGCACTATCTTTCTATCTTCATGCCTTGTATTCAATAGTTTCCCTAGACTAATTTCCTCTATTCTTCTCAAATGTTGTAGAGTTAGACACAGTATATTCCATTGCCTATCAACGACCTTGACTCATGGCTCAAGACTCCCTCCATATATGTTTTTGATTGTTCTGCTGCAGGGATGATTGCCAATGCCTTCATAGAGGTATTATTAACTATTTATTTCTTGACAACATTGTTATTATTGTTTGACTAAATGCTTGAATATCATTTATATGTATATAGCTCCAGGATTGGACTCCCTCAAGTTCTTCTTCAGGAACTTCACCAAGAGACTGTATTCTACTTGCAGCATGTGAAGCACATGAAACCCTACCACAAAGTCATGAGTTTCCTGCTGATGTCTTCACTTCGTGCCTTACAACTCCCATCAAGATTGCCTTAAGATGGTTTTGCACTCGATCATTACTACATGAATCACTTGATTATTCACTTATAGACAGGATACCTGGGAGACAAACTGATCGTAAGACACTTCTTGGTGAGCTGAACTGGAGGTCATCTGCCTTTGTTTATTATTCACTTGATTGTTCTCCTGTATCTTATCCAATGTTACCTCCAACTCATCAACACCATATGATTTTATAATTCTTGAATCTTGATTATTTTGGTTATGGTTTGACCACGTGTCATTACAGGGATGCCACCAGCCTTCTCCTAAGGGGATGGTTCTCGGGGTATTTGTGTGGGCTCGGGTTTCCCTTTTGGTCAAACAAAGTTAGCTCGGATGGAGATTATCTATCCTCATTACCAAAAAAAGAGACATATATAGTCTCAATACCCAAACTTCATCTTTCTGTTTCTAAAATTAGAATGAATTGAAGAAAATGTACAAATGATTCTAAACTATTATATCTTTTTTGTTGGTGCAGAGTTTAAGTGGCCACGCGAGCCCTATAGAATCTGTAACTTGTGATTCAACCCAAGTGTTGGTGGCTGCTGGAGGTTCTTCTGGTGTGGTAAAGCTCTGGGAGTTAGAAGAGACAAAGGGTATTTATGACTTTTTATGCAATCACCTTACGTCTCTGTAGTACTTTTTTTTACTCGATGTCTAATTCTTTTTCTTTAAATGCAGTGTTTAGAACACTTAATGGACACCGATCCTACTACACTGCCTTGGAATTCCATCATTTTGGTGAGTTTCTTGCATCAGGATCCATGGATACTAATTTGAAGATATGGGATATTCGAAAGAAATGATGCATTCATACATATAAGGGTCATAAACGAGCAATTAGTACAATCAGATTTACCCCTGATGGAAGATGGGTGGTGTCTGGAGGACTTGATAATGTTGTAAAGATATGGGACTTAACTGCTGGAAAGCTCTTGCATGAAGGCCACATTAAATCAATGGATTTCCATCCTATTTAGTTTCTTCTAGCAACAGGTTTGTATCCATCCAACAATGGCTTCTATTTTCTTTCAATTTTTTTTTATGTTTTTCTTGATGATGCATGTGTTAATTCAGGTTCATCAGATAGAACTGTGAAATTTTGGGATTTGGAAACCTTTGAATTGATTGGAACAACTCGGGCTGAGGTATACTTCTAGAAACTTCTATGTATCAATGTGGGCCCATGATCTTTCTTTTATAACTTGTTTATTGATTTTACACAGGAAACAGGGGTACGATCAGTTGCATTTCATCCAGATGGAAGAACACTCTTTTGTGGATTAGACAACAGTTTAAAGGTTCTAACTTTTTTCTTCTTTTTTACATTAGTTTTTATAGTTTGCGTTTTGGAAATTATAATTCTCACTCTGATTCTTTTTTAAGGTGTATTCATGGGAGCCTATAATTTCTCATGATGCTGTTGATATAGGATGGTCAACATTGGGTGACCTTTGTATTGATGATGGGAAGCTTTTAGGGTGATCATATCATCAAAACTCTATTGGAGTTTGGGCAGCAGATGTTTCAGTAACTATCTTTAATTCTTTATCCTTCCACAATTTAAATAATTTCACATTATATAATATTTACTTGTATACCTTTCTGTTTGTGAAGCATATTGAACCATATACACATAACATGATAGCCATGGAAAAAGCTCATGTGGATCCAAAGACTAATCTCCAGGAAAGTGTTATAGAGAGAATTAAGACTCCAAGAATGTCAATTATACCTTCATATGATGACACAAAAGATATCAAGAATATATATGTAGACAGTAATGTAAATTTATAGTCGATGTTTTGGCTTTTGCAGCTGTATGGTAATTAAATTTATAGTGTATGTATGTTTTGGTTTGCATGCAGTCTTTGTTTGGCAGCTTGGACAAACTTGTAGCACCTGATCGTCCATGCCACTCTTGGAAAAACAAATTTATAGTGTACTTCTTCCATTCATGTTAGTAATTTCTCATTATGATGTGTTGTTTCTTGTGCAATTTTATTTTTAGGAGGTATTTTACTTTATTAAATGTTTAAAGTTACAGGACATGAGTATGGGCACGTCATGGAACATTTTAGGGCACTTGTTGGTCTTCCTCTTGGTGATCCATCAATGAAGTGGCCAACTTGCATCATGTAATAACATTTTAGGCGAAGATGTAGGTATATGTTTTTTTAATGAATAATGTGATCATATGTATGAATATGAAATAAAGTTTGTTATTTACTATGTGATAATCATGTATAGGGAGAAAACAACTTCTATTGATTTGTTTTATTTTTCCATGGATCGATTATTTGTATGACATTAAATTTTATGCAATGGATTGTATTTTTTGTATATGGTATTTTATTTTTTGTTATGAGACATTAAATGCAAATTTAATTTGAAAATTAGTAAATCTATAAATAATATTTTTTTTAAACATTTAAAATTACGATACACAAAAATGTGTGTCATCTTCATTTATGACATGGCCTTTCTTGACAGGGCCTTCCTTGATACGCATTGTGTGTCATAAACACGCGCGTCGTAAGGTTACGACACACAAATGTGTGTCGTCTTCCTTTATGACATGGCCTTCCTTGATACGCACTGCGTGTCATAACTGCGCGTCGTAAATGCGTGTCATAAATGCGCGTCGTAAATAGACGACGCGCAAAAGCGTGTCGTCTCTCGTTATGACAGGGCCTTTCTTGACACGCATTTGTGCGTCGTCTGAGTGTTTTACGACACACATTGCGCGTCGTAAAAGGCTGTTTTTCTAGTAGTGATGCAAACAACCCTCTACAAAGTTGTATTCTAATGTATGAAACATCTATTATTCTCGATTCATAATACACTAAAGATCGTCGAGGAAAAACTTGCTGAAAAATATGAAGCTTCCTATGTAGAGTTTGAAAGTCAAATAATTTGGATTAGAATCCAACCAAATAGAAGTTCGAAATCAAATAGTAAATTAAAAAATTGTTCATAAGACTAAAAATCAATGACACATCACTTCACTAAAAGATTTCTTTCACCATCAAGATCTTAGTAAGACAAACAATTTGATCAAAAGACCAAAAATCAGTGCCACATCACAAAACTAATCAACCATCTTTAACCAAATATCTTCAATATGCATGTATGTGATGAGTTTTCTAGGTTACAACTAAGTTATTTGCACAACAGATTTTACATAAACACATATAGGTACATGCAACCTAGAACTCTATGACATTTTCTCAAGTTATAACAACATACTTTATGAAACAATCTTCTAATCTATGAAAAAAAAAATTACATGATTTTGAACACATACCTTTTGCAACATTCGAATGATGCAAACAACCCTTTTGATATCTTGCTTGGAAAGCAAACACCAATAATGTGGATGTCTCTAATGGTTCACACCCAAACCCTACAAAACCCTAGGATTGAAACTATAGAGAGAGGGGAAGGAGAAACCGATTTTTCTATGTGTGTGGGCTAAGGATCGGTTTTACCTAGGGATATGGTCCATATTTATAGCTGCCAAATAACCTAGAAACCTTATATTTGAATAATAAAATAATAGTATTTTATCCTAATTCAAATCGGTTTCATTATGAGCTACTGAAGGCTTCCATAACCCTTCTGGACCTCTTGCAAAACTGCCCACTCTTAGGAGATTCTAGAATTGCCTTCTTTGCTTAACTTTTGAACAATCGCAATTCAACCATTGAACATTTAATTAATTCTAATTAATCCATAATTAATTTCCAATTAACTTTGATTAATTCTCAATTAATATATTAATCATATAATATATTAACAAACCATTTAATCTCTTTCTTAAGATCAATCCAAGCTATTTTCTGGTTATGAGGGCAACCCAAAAAAGACTTTACTTTTATTCACTAAAAATATATCAATTCATTTAAGACCTTATACACCTTAATCCAACAGTCTCCCACTTGGATATGCCGTCAACTACAACTGCAAATATAGTCTTTGAATAACTAGTAAAGAGCGCTTTCCAAAACCACAACCAAACTTGTTGGATTAGGTGTCTAATCCCATAACTATAATTGGTATAAACTTGAATTGATAGTAGCACAATCCTTTTGGGTTGTCCTCAAACCTAGCAATTGGAAAGAATGATTTTTGGAGAGAGAGAATGATTTATTATTTGATTAATAAATTGAAAAAAATAATTTATTAATATATTATAAGCATAATATATTAATTAGAAATAGTAATATTTAATTAATAATTAATCAGAAATTAATTGGAATTAATTTTGGGATTAATAGATTAATTAAAAGTGTAGGGGTTAAAATGTAATTGTTCAATAGTTGAACAAGAGGCACTCTAGAACCTTCCTAGAGGCTTGGACGGTTTTTAGGAGGCCTTTAGGTTTCTAAAATTATCCTTGGAGGATAATTAGGAAGCTAGACAATTACCAATTCTAGATAATTACCTTCCTAGAGGCACTTCTTGTAACGCTTGATATTCGGTTTGAAGTTGATTCCAAGTTGTTTATGTTTTCTGTTTGGGACACGACGTGTTGGAGCCTCAATACAGCGTGTCGAGATGTTTTTGGTTGCGGAGTTTAATAAACCAACACGGCGTGTTGGCAGCTTGGAAGGAAACCCTAATTATTAGGGTGTTGCACCCTATTTAAACGCCTTAAGTTCCCTTGACCGGCCTCCTTACCAGCCTCAGTTGTTACCTAAAACCCTAAATCGAGTATTAAAATTTCTTGGTGGTGTTCTTGAAGTTTTGAGGGGATTCTTGTGGATTTTGTGCTCATTTGAAGGAGCTTTGAAGTTTGAAGGTGCCTAACTTGGAAGGAAGGCCATGGATCCAAAATCTCACCACTTATTGAAGTCTCCTTGAGGTATCAAGTTCATACCTTGCTTTGTTGTTGATTAGATATTCTTTTATGGGGTTTTGTTATGATTTTGGTCTCATTTTTGGATCTATGGATGAGTTGGGTTGTTTAAGGGCTTGTTCTTTCAAATATGGGTTGTTTTGGTATCCTTGAGCATAAAGGTGCAAGCTTTATGTGAAGAATGGTGTCATGCATGCTTCAAGTCCTCTATTAAGTCCCCTTTTTTAGCTTAAGAGCTTCATTTAGTCATATATGGACGTAAAGTTGACAACTTTACATAATAACCCAGCTCAAGGAGGTCAGATCTATGTTTTGGGGCTATTTCTTTAACGATTAAGTGCTTATTGGTTAAGCTATTGAATCTCGAGCAAAACGGCGTGTTTACAAGCCAACACGGCGTGTTTGCAAGCCAACACGGAGTGTTGGCTAGGGATTTCCTGATTATCTGGATGTTGGAAGAATACGACGTGTCGAAGGGCGAACACGACATGTTGGGTCAACATGGACTATTGACCTTGACTTTGACTTTTGCAGTTGACCAGGGTTGACCATTGCATATTTTGGATTTGGGCCTTATGGTGTCATTGCGGGTTTGGACTATCATGTGGGCTTGTATTGCTTGGGGTTTATTTGGACCAGCTGAGAATATGCATTTTGGATTAGGAAAGGTTAATGGGCTTTAGGGTAAGGCCCATGTAAGGTTTTGGGCCCAATTTAGAAAATTAGGTTATTATTGGGCTTTGGTGATTATTGGTTTGAGGGCATTTATGATTGTGAGTTTGGGCCTTAGTCTTGGACCAAACTAGGTGAGGGGTAAAATGGTCTTTTTACCTAATGTATGGATTATTTGATTTGGTTTGGAACCCGATTATTAATTGGGTGTTATTTGTTTGATAGAGCGGGGATTCTAGCGGATCGGCAGTAAGAGATCTATTCATGGGTTCATCTGTCGAGGTGAGTCTCCTCACTGTTCTATGGGTCGAAGGCACCAATGCCGACCCATTCGGTTTATGTATTATAGGAAGACCCGGGGGTGACCCTTGGCATTTTGTATGAAAGACCAGGATGCGACTCCTGGAAAACTGTATGCAAGACCAGAGTCTGAAATTTGGCAGTTAATTAGTTAAGTAGTTGTAGATTGTATGCTACTTGTCTTTGCGATGCTTGCATAGAAGACCAGGAGGTGGCTCCTGGCACTTGTCTGTAAGACCCATGGTTTTGGCCCCCGACGTAGCAAGGAAGACCACGAGGCGGCTCGTGGCATAATGGCAAGACTATGGTTGGCACATAGCACTTTTATTGATTGATTGGATATGTATGACATGTATGGCTCGTTTGATATGAATGGTATGTGGTATTTGGGTAACTCACTAAGTTTTGTGCTTACAATTTATGGTTTATGGTTTCAGGTACTTCCGGTTCGAAAGGTAAGGGCCCGACTTGATCGCAGCGCATACACCCGTGTTTTCTGCAATATGTGTTTTTGGGAATAAACTCTGATATTTGTTTTATTTGAAATGCTTTTAAATGTTTGGATAAAAGTTACATTAGTGTTTTGGTTATAACAAAAATGAAATTTTTACTCTATGATTTTCGAGATATTACAAGTTGGTATCAAAGCCAG